AAACTACTACCACAGGCCTTATGACTCTTCTCCAATAATTCACCAACATATCTGAATAAATCCTTTCACTACCTTTTTTTCTCTCTAAACTAACTCCTCCTAAGCATAGTCAACCTATTTTCCTACCCAAATCTGATTTCTGAAAGGACTGCTTGACTTCTTTTGAGGATAGTTACAAACTATATAACCAATTTTTTTACAAATAAAATACACAATACTGGGGTTTCTACTTTGCCTTACAGGTTTACTTGGGTATATTGCCTATAACTTTCCTGAAATGATCAAGAATAACTCTATGAACCTTTCTAATTTTTATACAAATACTGAAAAGTACCTGAATTTGGTACTGCATTTTTATAAAAATAAACTCTACTTTTTTCAAAACCTGATTGAACAAGCTGCTAAAAAAACTGCTAATTTAGTAAAGACTATTGCATTGTTTAGTTTGATACTATATTACCAAAACCTCTTGGCATATTTGAAACAGATAGATCAAAAACTCCAGGTCCACTACTTATTCCAGGATGCTTAATTCTTACTAACTGTATAGCAAATTGCTCCTGAAAAAACACCTCTATAAGATTATTATCTGACAAATTTTTAATGCTTATACTCACACCCTAACTCTCTTTATTTGCATTCTTAATATAAATGCTCTTATAGCTATTACATCTCACAGTTTTCCTATCAAGTTCCAATCCTTACCCACAATAGCACTGTTCTTTAATTTTTCAATATTACACTACTTATCATATTTAAACTGATCTTTGGCTTTACTAAAATTCTTTTTTGATCAATACTTACTTTTCTCTAAACTATAACCTAATTTCTAATCTTCTCAACATCTTTCTTTATTATTGCTTGCATTGTTTTTTTTAAGGATTTTTCCAAAGTGATATACTAGTAATCATATAACAACCACTTCTGCACCTTGACATTCCCTTCACCCAAGCCTGGCCTTTTACCAAAACTGCTTTCACTACACACTTCCTTCAATATAACACCCTTTTCATCTCTCTGAATCTTATCTTAACTCACAAACTTCATTTTCCTCTTTCTTTTCGTTTTACTTAATACACTTCCTGCCTATCTCTCAGCCAACTTTTTTTTTGACCCACTGCAAGTAAACCTTCACCACTACACAATAAACATGACATTTTCACTAGCAAATGATCCAAAATACTAATCAATCTCTGTTGAGTTACTTTCTCTGAATTATTACCCAAGACATTATTGATAGCTAATGAAGCCAAAAACATCTCCCATATATCATTCTCATTTTCCATTAAACTATTATCAAAGAATACAAGTATATAAGGCTCAAAAGGTTTATTAAAGTTTATTACTGTATTTTCGCAAAATTACACGCAGGGGTGTAATTTCAAAATTTGGCCTGAATTAAGCTTAATTCGGGCCAAAATTCAAAATAACACCCTGCGCGTTATTTCGCAAAAATAAGGTAATATTTAAATTAACATTTTTATTATCTTTGCTTACGACCACGTGGTATAAACAATAAAGCCAAACTTGTATCGAGCTAGAGCAAAGAGAAAGAATAAAAATTTAACTTCTTTTTAAAAACCACTACTATAATTTCATACTTACTTACACAACTTAAAACATTTCTACAATAAATTACCTTTAGAAATCAATCAAAATGATACATCACCCAAACAATTAGTCAAATCTCATCTCAAATATATTATACTTACAAAACTTCAGTCCCAGGTCACAGTCTTATGACAAATAAATACTATATAACTTCATTTATGGCATTACAAATTGCTTTTTAATTTTTTTTTTAATGCTAATAATTTTGGTCAATAACAATAATGGTTGCAAGTCTTTACAGACATCATGTGCAAACAGCTTCTATGAGTTATTATAATCAACTAATATATTTTTAAAATCTTTGTATGCATGTTGTGAAGGACCCTGTAAAATTTTTATTTTATTTTATTTTATTTTTTTTTCCAGTTAATGTGACCTTTTTGGCCTGAAAGCTTTTATTAGCAACTAAATAATGCTTTATAATGCAATTATAATAATAGTACATCAAGCCACACGTGTACTTTTGGTGCCTAATTTAAGTAGCTACCCAAAGCGGTAGTGCTATACTAAGGGTTATACACTATATGCTATACCTGCACCCCAACTACAGGGTACCTATTTAAACTATCTGATTACAACTGCCAGATTACCTAGCTAACCCCAGGCTTACTCACTATTTATGTATAGATTTTGCATTACCCTGGCAGAGGAAATACTGACTGTTTTAGAACTTACCAACCATTTCTGGCTAATTTATCCTCGAGATAAACTTAACAGAGCGGTACATATCTCACACATATATTTATCTGCATGTTTCTATAACTTCTTTCTAATTAGTACATATTGGCCTACTATTCTATATTCATACCTCATACCACTTTTTAAGGTGCTGCCATTCTACAGACATTTCTCAAGCACTAACCTTCCTAACTAGGTGCCTATTATGTGCTTCTTGCTAGTGTTTTGACCCGTAATCCAAGTAATTTGGATGGATTCGACAATTTAAATTAAATATAGATATCCGTATCTGTTAATTTTAGATGGATAGATTCGTAAAACATATTAGATTAAAGATAAGGATTATCTGAATCATAATCCTAGATATTTTTCATGTGATTAGTCAATTTAAACGGCAAGCGTATAAGTGTAATAATTGTAGTAATAATAACTGAAGCGAAATGCTAGGCAGCAGTTAAATTTATGAGTTAGTTGTAAATTAATGTAAGCTAGCAAGGCTTTTATTTTGTTTTAGGGATGAGTTCGACTATAAACGTTACAATTATTCATAGCCAATTTGCTAAATACTTAGATAATTTTTTGTTCTTGAGCTTTTAATTAAAGTTGTTCAGAATTAAATTTTGTTCATCCCATCTTAAAAGTAGAAAGAATGTTACCTTCTCTAAAATTTAGAATTTTAAGATTTGTTAACATTGTAGCTGACTAGTATGAAAAAAAATTCTTGAAAAATTTTAGAAAAAATCTGGTAAAAGATAAAAATTCTAGTAATTGGTTTTTTCGCAGTAATTAGCTAAATTAAATTTTTGGCACTTTTAAAATATTTCAGAAATCTGTTATAACATAACCGAAAAATTTTTGGGATTTAAAAAATTTATCAGTTTTATTAGATATTAACTGGAAAAACTGAAAAAAATTAGAATAGATTTTTTATGCTATAGCCGACTATTAGCCAGTGGTTAGTAGTCAGCTATGATATTAACAAATTATAAAATTCTGAGTTTCAACGAAGGTATTGTTTTTTCTACTTTTAACAGAATTTAATTTTGAACAACTTTAATTAAAAGTTCAAGAACAAAAAATCATCTTAGTATTTAGCAAATTGGCTATGAATAATTATAGCCATTTGTAGTCAAACTCATCCTTACTTCGTTTTACCCAATAGATAACATGAGTTTTTACTAATTGATTATGATTTGAATCTAATGATCACTTACTATGCTATGTTACTATAAAATCTCTCAAAACAAATCCTGTTAAAACCTATACCTGTCAAATTTAATAAAATTTATCTACCAAGTCCATTTTTATTATACTGTTGAACCTCTAAAACCAATACACATAGTGGACTAATTTTGTATCAGCATTGAGAGATTATTGGATTTGAAAACATTATAAACTATTAGATTTATATGTATAATAGAAACAGACTTGGTAGACTAATTTTTTATCAGATTTGACAGGTTATCGATTTTGGGAAGGTCAACATAAATAGAATCTGAATTTAATAATTGAATCCAGATTTGCTCAGATTTGGATACACAAAATAGAATCTGAATTTAATTTTAATAGCCTTCTAAAAATAGGATCGAAACACTACTTCTTACTCTTATTTGGTTTACAACAACCCCAATACCCGCATTTGGACCATTTTCTTACCCGGATTCTTTACTGGTCCATCTTTTACTTCTAGCTAGCAACCCAGAAGGGTCAGTCTGCCCAGGCTTTAAGTGCCTGAAGGACACCCTCCTCTTGGTTCATACTGCCATGGAGTTTCCCAGCACTCTGTGTATTCATGGGTCTTTACTATCTAACTTCACTCGCTTAGCAGTTATACAATGACTGGAATATCGTTCAGGTACTCCACCATCCGATTATATACTTTAATAACTGTATAGACAACCACTTAGTGTATAGATGATAAATTACTTAACTGATTTTATTATTCTTTTTCGTTCGCTTTAAATATTACAAGATATAACCCAAATATTATTATATCCAGTTACACGCATTAGACTATCTACAATTAGACTTTAAATTAAATTATGCATTATGCAACGCCATCGGTATACCCGATCCTAATCGAACATCACCACACAAAATCGCGGGGTACTAAATTAAACTGTGACACGAGCTAGAACCCAAAAACTTCGTCCCCAAAGTTTTCACCAATGTAATTTACTATTTACTAATACAAACTATACTAACACAAATTATACTAACACTAAAATTGTTCATTTTTTTTCTATTGTTTCATAATTCATTTTTTACTTCGGTATACTACCGACTGTAGCATAATTATTCCTTACTTTGGTACTCTTATTACCAACTTTTGCATAATTATACTTTACTTCGGTACTCTTATTACCGTCTGTCACATAAATAAATCTTACTTCAGTACTTATTACCAATAGTCACATAATTTTGGTTAATTCCATCGACTAGCATAAATCACATGCATCACGTGAACCAAACATTTCGAAACTTTCATATTCAAGACAAGTATCTTTTTTTTTTCTTCATTTTTCTTTTTCTCAAATGTTTCTATTATGTCATTATCATCTACCACTTCACAGAAACATCAGATCCATTCTTCCTAATCTTCGCACATCAAGACAACTCCCAAACATCATATGTTCCAATTCTTTACAGCTGATTATATGGTCCAGGTAGAGTCGTTCATAGAATCTGATATTGCTTCGCTCTATTTGTCTCTGTATCGTCACTTGATTCTTGACCTTATCAAGGCAATCTTTCATCCTCACATTTTCAATGCTCATAGCATTCAAAGCAACTCTATTTATTCTACGGCTTAAATTGGACAACCACGCTGGATTCATAATGCAACACTTTGTCAACACCATACTATTCATCATCTTGCTACCTTTCATCAAGTTATCACTTCCAAGTTCAATATTTCGTGCCTCTTTTACATCACATTCAAGATCATTTAATTTATCATTAAGACATTTATGACCATATTGTTTATTCGAATTAACACCTCCATCGACTTCTATTACGTGATGGTTACAATTTTCAACATTAATAACAGTTTCCTCATTTTTATCTACATTACTATTAGTGCCATCCTTGACCTTAGCATCAACTTCAGCTCTTTTATCTAAGCTAGTTTTTCCAAAGCTATCATCTTTGTCGATATTCAAGCACCAGGCAGGTACATTGTTTTCATCTTTTTCAACACTGATTTATTTTGATAATGAACAAATGCCTTATATTCATTTATTTTAGCTTCAACTCCATGATGATTACAATCATTGTCGAACATGCTATTAATATAATCTGCTTCATCAGGTTTTCAATGATGGCTGGATGCTTTAGGCTTCTCTTCAACATCAATTCCATTTTTACTATATCTTTCGTTAATAACATATTTCTCATTTTTCTGTCTTGTCGTCACAATGGATATTTTTGCATTAATTCGTGACACTTTCTGCTTGTTATATTTAGGTATAAGAACCTCTATCATCATAGCTTTTATTCCTGGAATCCATCGATACAACTGGCTCAACAAGAACATCGTTGCCAACTCGACAAGTTTTATCACAAGATCTTGGTTTCAGTACAGCTTCATCAAAGGGATGTATACTCTTAATTTGCTCTGTCTTTCTGCTTGATTTTTGTTGCTATACTCATCACTATTCATTTTTGTAGACTTCATTACGATATCAGTTAAATTTTTCCAGTTTCTCTTCTCAAACATATTATCGGCATTGTCAAGCTTAATTTCCAGGTATTGTTCATCCTTCTTATCTTCAATTCCACTCTGACTACTATTACTAGCATCATGTGCTCCATTGCCATACCGTATATTTGCGAATTTTTGATAATGAATGAATCCCTTAAGATCATTCTTTTCAATCTGATTTCCTTTATCATTTAGGTTTGTTTCTTCATTACGTATAAAATATTTTTGTTTTCTTGAACTTTCTATATCATTTGCCATTTTCCTTACTAATTCCACATACCATAAGTCAACTAACATTATATTAGAATCATTATCCTTTATGTTATAACTTCTTGAATCTTGACTTTTTCGATTTGGGCAAGATTTAGCTAGGTGTCCTGGCCTTCTACATACGTAACATAGTCATGGTCTTCTGATTTTTCTCTTTACTTTTGATTGTTCAATTTCATTAAGCAGTCCTGTTAACCTGCTTATAATGCCCTTGATTTCACAAGTTCATATCTCCATCTTTATTAATTCTGATTCCATTCATTTTCTAGTTTTTTTTTTTTTGTATTTTGTATATTTTTGTTTTTTTTTTTTCTATTTTACTACTGTTAATGTTCTTTTGTTTTGTTATTTTCGTTAACAACACTTCTTGAATTATACTTACTATATCTTTGAGCCTGCAAGGGTACTTTTGTTTGCCCAAGTCCTTGTGTCATGGAGTTTCCCAACACTCTGTATATTCGTGGGTCTTTACTATCTAACTTCACTTACTTGGCAGTTATACGATGACTGAAGTATCGTTCAGGCTGTGAGAGAAGAAAATATTACCAAAAGAAAAAGAAATTATACATCAGTTCCAGCCTTCCGGCAAAAGGTTTAAAAGTGCTAAGGAATATAAAAAGGAGCACGAAAAGAAGTGAATAAAGAATAAGAAAAAACAAAAGGGAGCAAAAAAAAAGAAAAAGAAAAAAAGAAATAGAAAAGAATAGTTGAGAAAAAAATATAAAGAACAAAAAGAAGTAAAAAGTGAAGAACGAATGAATGAGTAAGGGAAAAAGGAAAGGGTGAAAGTAATAAAAAAAACAAAAGAAGTAAATAATAAAAAAAAAGAAGTGAAGAAAAGAAGGAAGACAAAAGAATAGAAGAAAAAAAAAACTAAAAGAGACAAAAAATGAATAAAATAATGGGGAAAGAAAAAAAGTGAAGGGAATAAAAGAAGCAAATAAGAAAAAAAGTTGAAGAGCAAAATAAAGTCAAAAGTAAAAAAAAAAAAATTATAAACAGATTATGATAATCTTAAATTAATGAGTAGTTCAATATTTAAAACCATAAAAATAAGCCATAATACATAAAAAAATTTTGAAATATTTCAAAATATCTTGCATAATATTTTGTAATTTTGATATTTCCCAATATTTTGAAATTTCTTATATAATATTACAGCTTTTTTATGTTTCATAAATTATTATGAAATATTATAGTCTTATAAATTTGCTAATATATTCACTTTATTTAATTTTCCCACTATATTTGATTATTAGCTTTATCATTTTTCGCTATTAAATATAACTTTTAAACCTGTATTGTAATAGTTATACAAAAACTAATAAAAGCAACTCTTCTCTGCTTTAATAAAGAAAACTAACTAGCTAAGAATTGGCATAACTCACTAGTATTCATCATTTTATATTGTAACTTATAAACATTCATTCTCCTACTTTCCTGATAGATAAAACTATCTTACTATATCATAATTTTTAAATTAGAGCTTCAAGATATAGTTTAGAGCTCTATTTGGGCCTAATAACTTGAACCAAGTCTTTTCATGCTTCTTTCTGCCTTCCAACATTAAAGTTCAAATAGAGTTTAGCTGACATAGTGTTGACTTGGAGTAGTTTGGTGTAGTGAAAAAGATTTGAAAATTTTTTTTGTTCTTTAGGAACATAAAATATTAAATTTATATTTTCAAAAAAATTTTAATATTCTTACAATAAAATCTCTCTCTTTCTCTTTCTCTCTCTCACTCTTTCTCTCTCTCTTCTTTCTCATATATAAGTTTATCAATTATTAATCAAAATGCTTAAATTAATTTAATTAATTTATTTGTTGTAACAAATTAAAATGAAATCAGATTAAAATAAAAATTTAATATTTTTAGGTATGATTTAAAAAATTTTGGGAACATTTTTTAGAGTTAGGTTTTAATGATAGATTTATTAAAAAAAGAGTATAAGTGGGTTTTATAAGTTTTAAAGAGGAGCAAGAGAGATCCTCTGTTTCATTTTAATCTGATTTCATTTTAATCTGCAATATTTATTAATTTAAATACTAAAAAAAAAGTATATATGCTATACTATGACTAAAAAAGCATATATGCCATGCCACAACTATAAAAAAAAGGTTTTGCTACACCAAAAAACTATTACAATAGAGAACACAAACTATAACTTTTATGTTACTACTTGTTTATAAAAGAGAACATAAATTTTAAATTTGGTGCTCCCAAATTTTTTTAAATGTTCCTGAAAACACTAAGAACATAAAATTTTTAACACTAGTTTGGTGTTAGTTGATATCTGTATTGTCGATTTTCTCCAAGTCCGATCAAGTTTACCCTTTCTCAATTGGTGGCGACTGTGAGATCAGACTTCCTAACTCACTCAAGCCTATTATTTTAATTATTCATAGCTTAAAACTGCGATGCCAAGAAATATAAACCACTATACCAATGGATTTTTACTATAATCCTCAAAATCAAATATCTACAATTCGTCAAGCTAAATCAAGCCAATATTCCAAGAAAAATAACCATTACCAAATGAAAGTAAAGAATAATTAGTTGAATTACTTTGAGCCAAATATTACCAGGTATGAATTTTTGAAGAGAGAGTCTGCACAAAGAAATCCTCAAACAGAAGTATAGTGCTTTTCTTGTAACAAAAAAAAGTATAATATTCTTATATGTCCAATGATACAAAGGTTAGAAAGAAAGTATGCAAGTTTATTTAAAATGCTTACTGATAAGCAAGCCACCAAGGTTCAAAAAAATATAAATAAAGCTTTTAGAAATATCTATATTAATAATGTACAAAATTTTTAGGCTTTGGGGTTGCTAATAGAGATATTAGAAGACTTAATAGATGATAAAAGTGATGGAGAAGCTCTGATTATCTACCTACCTTCACATATCTAAGTGGTCTCAATTTCAAAAAAGAAGAGCCAATTCCCAATTGCCAATACTGTGAAAGTCTCTTCAACCAGGTCTCAGTAAAAAAGATCAATAGCCTTCAATATTTATAGCACTTATTATGCCCAAAAAGAACAGAAGAAAGAACTATTCAAGTCTGTTAAGTTAGACAACAAGAGTAGAATGTATAAGCAAAATATAGTTAAAGAAGAACAATTAATAGAAAACTTCAATAGAAGGCACTGCCTAGAACATTATCAGAATAGAATGAAAGACAAAAGTATAAAGTCTAAAAACAATATTGAACTAAATAACAGATATAAACTACTTGCTTATTATCAAACATTAACAAAACTGGGGCAACATAATGAAGCATACAATTTTGGCCTTTGTTACCCAAATATAAATAATTATGAGATGACATATATAGAATTTTTTGTGGAAGTCTTAAAGACTTAGATTCTATCAATTATAAGTCTGCTAATATATACTTATCACCAAATATTTCTCAACAATAAAATTTTGAAACTTTAAACATTAATATTAAAGCAAAGGTTTAATTTTTTATATTTTAATTTAGTAATACTTGACAAAACTATATAATACTAATTATCATATTATAAATAAATAAAATTTAGATTATTATAAAATTCTAATTTTTAAAATTTTTAGGGTATATTTTTTAGGCTTTTTTTTTTGAATCTAAATAGTATTTAGAGTTGGAGTTTATAATAAAAGAGTGTAAATAGATTTTGTTAGGATTGTAAGAGCTTATATTTTTAAATTAAAGCCTTAGATTTTACAATAATTTGATTTCACTATTATCTATAACAAAAATTATAATAGATTTTTAATTTTTATATATAGATTTTACTAAATGCATCTATAGTGTTTTATACTATAGAATTTATTTTTCAAAAATATATTAAATAAATAGAATTAAATACTCCAAGTAAAAAAATTTAATAAGGGTGTGGCGACATAGTGAAGTGGTAGAGTTGTCACCTCCCAAGTAGCAAGGTCTAGGGTTCAAATCCTACTGGTGATGAAAATTTGAAAACTACTCCTTGTATATCCCTTATGGATATGTCAACTTGATCTGCATGCTGTAACCGAATAGGTAAATACCAAATTTTGGGAGTACTGTCTTATATAACAAGATTTGTGGTAGAGTGTCTATTTGTGGTTTGGGCCACAGATAAAGGAATGCAAGCCGGTAAAAGTTAGTGCAAATACAAGATAAGCCTCTAGAGTACAAACTCCATTGAAGAAATGCTGCAAGATTCTGATATAGAAGTGGTACGATCTTCAAGGCCACCGGACTGATTAGATTAGGAAGAACTACTTGCAAATCCCGAGTATGGTGTTCAATTTAGAGAAGTAAAGGGTTGGGGCCCCTTGAAAAATAGTTTGAAGTAAGAGTTGAAGAAATACAAACTGGTTTAGTCAGTGTAAACACAAGATAAATCTATATAAAGGTTAGGATAGGCATATAAAGTAGGATTATATAGTTTAAATTGTTAACTGTATATAGCAATATGTACTTCACCAAAAACTGAACGAAACACAAAACACAAACATTTGTTTTTTGCATGTCTAAGATTTGAGGATAGGACATTAAAGATCTGGATAACCAGGTTGGAGTAGTCCTCAAAGTATCAGCCACCCCCGAACCTGCATCTCACTATAGCTACACACAATGTTAGGGGCTTCAACACTCCTTCCAAAAGACAAATTTGGCAAGATTACTGTATTCACCACAATATCACAATAGCCAGTATCACTGAAACAAAAATCTCACATAAAACAAAATTATCCTTTTGTAATAATAACCTTTATACATACTACTGGGCAAACTCTGATAGCTTTGCTGAAGGGTCTGTTATTATAATACACAATTTTCTTAAACCTCATGTATATAGTTGCCAAACACACTTTGGTGGTGCAATTGTGCTTGATCTTTTCTTTAAAAACTCTATTAAGCTCTGAATCATATTCATATATCTCTCTTCTACTGACTCCTCTCGAAGAAATGCCACCCAAAATACTGTCATTAGCTGGCTTTTGCAAGCCCAACAGCAAAACATTCACTCTATTGTTCTTGGTGACTTTAATACACATGACAATATATTCAGCTCCTCTGTCAGATTTAAACTTATTAACTTTCTACACCATTCAAACATGTTTGATATAGGCTCTCACTCAAACAACATCTCACACACCTGGTCCAACAACACAAGCTCTAGCAAAATTGACTATATTTGGACTAACTCATTCAATATTCAATTTCTTCTTGCTTACAATCTTGATAATAGTAATACAAGTACACTCAGTGACCACCTCATACTCTCTACTACTAGGACTTTTTCAAATGCATATAGCAAACCACCTCGTTTACGTACCAATATTTGTCGCCAAATTTTTAACTACAAATCAACATCTTCTAATTACTGGCTAGAGTTCTCTGACTTTGCCACTAAACTTTTTCAATGACATCTATTCTTACCTCTACCGATTCTACCATTAGCATTGATAGCATCTGGCACAAGATCCAGCACTGTATTATACAGGCTGCAATTAAAAAGGTTCCCAACAAAGTGACACGCAAATGTAGCTATAACTATAAATATAGCCCACACTGTACTGCACTCTATACAGGACTTAAAAAACTCAGCCACCTTATCAAAACAATTCGCTTTAATACTGACCAGTCAGATAAGCATCTGCAATACATTCATTTAGATATTCTATTCAATGTACAAAGTGCAATCTTCAGTCACCTTCAAAATTGAATCCTGCCTATATCCAAGTATGGCTTGAAGAAGCTTATACTGTTTGGAAACAGGTATACTATGCTTATCATCTAGAATATTCACTCTATCTTAGCAACCAAGCTTCAGAGAAAAGATGTAAAACTCTTGTTTCCAGGCCTACTCATGCAATTAATAGTATACTCGATCACTACAAGGCTCCTATCCATTTTTCTAATATCAAGCTTCCAAACCAACTTGTCACAAACCCTACAAACATCAAACGACATATACAACAACACTTCAATGATTGGACTGTACATAAACCTATTAACTATCTACTTTTCAACAATATCTGGCAACAACATTACTCTCCTTTATCTCACATCAACCCAGACTGGTACAACCCTCTTATTACACCTATTACAATTGAAGAGGTCCTCCAAACTATTGCCAAGCTTCCTAACACAAAGTCTGTGGCCCTACAGGTATAAGCTATGAAATGTTTGTTGCTCTCCTAAACAGATGCCTTTCTGAAAACTACATTCTGAAACAATAGAAACACAGTCAAATCTATCCCATCCAAAAAGAAACACATTTGATAGAAATCTTAACTTAACTCGCCCTATTAGCCTAATAGAACATGCCAGAAAAATATATACTAAAATCCTTACAAACAGATTGAACAACGTCTTCTTTCAACACCTGATTCTCTCTACTTATAACTATGTTGCTCTTCCAGGCAACAGTACCTCCATTCCCATACATATCCTCAACAACCTTATTGAAAATGCAAGCTATAACCACAAAGAAATCTGGCTCTTGTCCTAGGACATAAGCTAGGCCTATGATTCTGTTAACTCTACTCTTCTGCACTATGCCCTTTCACGCCTTGCACCTCCTGCTTCAATTATTAATACAATCTCAAACCTGTTTATTGGTCGCCATAATGATGTCATCACCAACCTTGGCCTTACACTTTCTTACCTTGTGCAAAATGGAATTGACCAAGGAGAAACAATTACACTATTACTCTAGCGTATTTACTATGACCCTCTTATCTCCCATATATATTCTACTATACCCAGATACAAATGCAAAGCTCATGGTTTACCAGTTTAAAAAACTTTTCAACCAAATCAAAACCAGATGCTCAGTTCTTGCTTACATAGATGACACTTTATAGGTTGCATCCTCACATGCAGAACTAACTAAAATAATTTCAATTGCAGAATCTTTCTATTCCATGGCTAATATTCAAGTAAATCTAAACAAATCAGTCCTTACCACTAACTCAACCTCTAATTCTAACTATCCTATTACCTTTAATAACCAAACACTCTCACTACAACCACTACACCAACCACTCAAATTCCTTGGATGTTGGTTCACACTTGATAACAAACAATTTAAACAAATACAACACGAGTCCTCTCAACTCATCCAGACAATTAGTCCTAAAAAAATTACAGATATACAAGTCTGCTATATTATTAATAAAATTTTCACACATCATATTGGTCTTGCCAAGCACAAAGCCAAACTCAGCCGCACTATACCTACTAGCACTCTACTACATCCACAAATTTACAATATTAAAAACATCTGGGATATTCAATTGCAACATTATATCTCCAACTTCATCAAATGGCTTAACAATAATCATCTCCTTGGCACTGCTACACTCATTCGCATCCAACAACTACAGAACAATCTATGGTTTTCCATAAATATCTTTTTTCATCCCAATCCTATAATTGAAGGCCCTGATAAAAACACTACTAATTTTAAAATTATTAAGCTCCTCAAATATATCAATTGGACAATTAGCCTCAATTCGAACACCTCCATTTCTTTTACAATCCAGGAAGGTTCAACTTCACTTGAATCAATTCTTGCTTCCCACTCTCAATATCCTATCTTTAAAAAACAACTTCGGCACCATTATCTACTTTTTCTCGACTAGCTTACTACATCTAACAATCTTTGTCTGCTCAAATGGCAACATATTTCACCAAGACTAAACAAAATTCCAAAAGGCAGAATACCTAAATGGTTTACTACACTGGAAAATATTTCTACCTCTAGCTCTCCCCAAAAAACTATTCATTCGCACTTTAATCTTTTACCTACTAACTACTATAGCTATAGTACTGGCTACTTCTACCAACATACTAAACCTTGGCTAATCTCTTTACTCAACAACCAACTGGTTGTTGGTAAAGCTCGACACCAATGTACAACAACAGGACACATACTCATCACTCACTGGCAATGCCACAATCTTACTTACTCAATACAACTATACCCACTTGCTCCTATATCTCTTTTATTTTGTACCAACTGTCAACTTAATACCAACCTATTAGCTAATAAATGCACTATTTTTATTCACACAAATCTTGCAACAAAGTTTTTTGGTAGACTTAATACAGACAAATCAATTAATTTCTATGCCAACTACCAGGACCTTGTATACTCAATTCTAATTTCAAATGCTACTCATATTCCACCACTTTCTACACTTATTATCGAACAATCTCAAATACCAACCTTCTTCATACCCAGTGAAGCCACCCAGACTCTTCAATCAATAGCTACTTACAATCAAAATGCCTCTAATCTTAACTTCTATACCAAAGGCTCTGTTACAAACATAGGTACCTCCCAATGCTCTATGGGTATTAGTTAGTTACAATTACAAAATCAAACTATGCTCCATACCTTCTAAGCCAAAATTGAACTCTAGCCTTGCTCATACAAAGCAGAACTCATAGCAATAGCATCAGCTATCTGTACTGCTCCTAGAAATTGCACTATACAAATTTTTACAAATTCCCAATCAGTTATTTCAAAGTTTTACAACCTTTCACACAATACTCATAATACAAACTCTATAAATACTCCTTACTGGTCTGTCTGAAACACTCTTTTAAACTTCTCTAAATCCTACAATTTAAATATTATATTTCACAAAGTCAATGCATATCAGGACGACATTTTTAACAATACAGCTGACCAACTAGCCCAAAACCATCAGCAAGCACCATATCTCACTTTCAATACAACTAATATATACAACCCTTTGTTTACTTTTAGCTCTAACAATCTCCCAATTGAACTTTCTATACGGCATAGTATTAGAACAATATGTCACGCATATATCTTCGCTAACTAGTCATCTCAAAACCAGTTCCAAAAATGGATCCCAATTACCTTTCTAGTCAATTGTCAAGCAACTTGGCTCTATCTTAATAATAACCAAAAAATATGCAACTTTTCACACAACTTTCAATTCTTTATATACAAATCTTTCAGAGTCAAATTACTTTTAGATGATTTACCAACGCCTAATATTCTTTATAGAAGGAATCCTTCCTATTCTAACAAGTGTCATATATGTTAACAAGAAAGTAACTCACTTCACTGGTTATCTTGCTCATCCCCTGTATCTCTATTTAACCTTATTTGTAGCTTTTTAGAACATATTTTAAGCTATAACAAACTTCAGATCTCACATCTCCAAACACACAACCTCCACATCTCTATTCTTAATCTTGATAGTTTTCAAGCTTACTAACTTATTCATAAACCTTCCCTAGCTTCTACATTCTCTGGCTTAGTACTAATTGATATTATTAACACATTAAGTGAGTATACTACATCTAGCAAAACAGCAACATCTCTTACTATTAAACTCCTTCTTGAAATTAATCGTCAAGTAAATAAAACATTATGAATTCCCTATTGCATATCAAGATCACAAATTGATTCTACAACTTCATCCCCACCTTCTTCTATTTATATCCCTAATACATTCAATGCCTCTAATCAGTCAAATACTTAATCTAACTTAATTAACTCTTGCATAAAATTGAAACATGGTACACTTACTGGATCAAATACTTAATACACCTATCTCATATTATTACTAACACTTAAATCTAGGTAAGCCTTAGCCACTTTGATTGGTTTAGGCCGCAGATAAAAAACTAGATGTCTATTAAGCACTTTTAGTTAGTCTGAATTTTTATTTGCATTAGGTTTATACAATAAAATTTTTCTGATTTTGTAAGAAATTTTGATTAAATTAAATAAAGATAAGAGCAAGGTCTCACTATTAACATTAAAAAAAAAAAAAGTAAAAAATTTAAAATCTTTAAAAATCTCATAAAATTAGATCAGAACTTTATATTAGCATTATAGTGCTTTACAAAAGTATTTCTATGTATCTCTTATAGAAAAGTGCTATGACCATAAACTTTCAGAAATATTAATATATATATAGATTAGATTGTAAAAATTTTTAGTTGCTAAAAAACTCTTTTCATCTATCACTCGTATACCAGCTTAATTTTTTTAAAATACTTTATAACTTTATTTTTTACTAAGTTAACCTTAGTTTTGCTACTAAATAAACTTATTTGTTACAAAAAAATACATATAATACTTGAATATTAAACGAAAAACTTTTAAAGCTATCGAGAAACGGCCACTTTGCTTTTTTTTACATTTCACTTAATAACTCTATAATGGCTATCTAAACCTACCCTCTGAACTTAGAAAAACTTAAAGAGCTCACTTTTCCCGTCATAACAAGCTAAATTTCAAGCTTGTAGACCTAAAACTAACAGAGATATAATTAAAAAACCCTCCAAACTCTTCTAAGTTTTTTTTTTTTTTCTTTAAGTTTCTTTTTACAAAAAAACTCTATAGGTGTTTTCTGTGCAATGCCAACTATTTTTAGATCATATTACCCACGGTTTCAACTACTCAAAATTAGTAGTTCTCTACTAATTACACCAATTTTATTTTAATTTTTAATTAAAATTTAATATTTACAAATCAGGAAATATTTAACTAACACAAATATATAGTTTGCACCTATTAAATTACAGTAACACAATACAACTTGTGTCACACTAGCCACACTAGCCACAGTTACACAAGCTGCAGTTATACAAGCCACAGTATCTAGATGATTCTATAGTATAATGTTATACAAAACAAAATTTATACTGCCCCCGAAGCTCACTACTACACCGTTTCAAATTTACTAATATTTCTAAGATATAATGCCAACTCTTATCAGTGAACCAGCCAATACCTTAGATCTTGACTATTTTCACTTGATCTGTAAAAATAGTTATAGTATTGCACTTTTTGAAAAAGAGGGGAAAAGTCATAT